TCCTCCTCCTCCTCCTCCTCCTCCTCCTCCTCCTCCTCCTCCTCCTCCTCCTTCTTGCCTACCTCTTCCCATATCCCGTTCTTTCTCAAATGTCACTCTCCTCTCTCTGGCCTTCCATGATGCCACAGCTCCTCTAGGGTATTATGGCCTGCTCTGTCACTGGTACTGCAGGTTTTCATATGCCCACTGTCCACCAGACTCCACGAAGATTTCCCAGGGAGCAGGCCCTGCCAGCTCTTTGTCCCCACAGGGCTCTCTGTCTACTCCAGGACATCTGTTCTGCTGTTTGGGAGGCACCCGCTGTACTCAGTGTGTTGCAATGGCTCATTCAGTCCTCAGCTGTGCCATGTGTGGGCCTGGGAGTTCCTGGCACTAGGGTGTTAGGAATCTGAAGCCCAGGTTGTTATTTATCTGCCTGTAGAAAGTAGCCTCAGAAGGGCTGAGTGAGGATTCCTATCTGATACCCTGGGGGCTCTTTCTTCTCTTCTCACTCTCTCACTTAGTTTTTCCCATAGCACAGATGTAACGTTGCCTAGCAGAGATGCCAGTCATCTCCATCTGAACAAAAACTCTAGGCAACAGGGCGCCCTCTGCAAGGAGAGGCACCTTGAGGCCATGGGGTGGTCACACTCCCTGGGGATCTGATGCCCTTGCCACAGTAACTCCAATGTGGCCTGCACCCCCGCAGGTGGCCCCAAGACCTCCTGCCCCAGCTTGGAACAATCAGCATTCTGGAGCTGCCTGTAGAATTTCGGCAATGCCACAATGGGCCTCTTTCTGCTCCAACTCCACCTCCTCTTCACCGCCTCCCCCAGCTTCCAAACTCCTATTGGCTTCCAGGGAGGGGGTGACTGTGAGCGTGGGGCAAGGCGTTCACCGGAGGGGAGATTCGGATGAGCGGAGTTGTGCTGTTCCCATCCCCCTCATCCCAGGGCTCTTGCCTACCCTCAGATATCATCTTCCATCCCTGGAAAAAGGAGGAGAATGGAAACCAGAGCCGCGTGATCCTCTACACCATCACCCTCACTAACCCCCTGGCTCCCAAAACCGCCACTGTCAGGGAGACACAGGTGAGAGCGGGGAGGAAAGAACCCAGTGAGAGTGTGTCTGAAGGATGAAGGCTGGGCTGGGGAGAGGCCTCTGGAGCTGGGCTTGGTTTAGTCTGGAGGCAGCAGCATCTGACGAGCTCAGATGCGATGTCCAGGGTCAGGGGCATTGGGAAAGCTGCTGTTCCTGTTTGGTCAATGGTGCTTCCCTCCCCACAGACCATGTACAAGGCGAGTCAGGAGAGTGAATGCTACGTGATAGATGCTGAAGTCCTTACTCATGATGTGCCATACCACGATTACTTCTACACCATCAACCGCTACACCCTCACCCGCGTGGCCCGGAACAAGAGTCGACTCAGGTGTGCCATGTGAAGGCTTGGGTGGATATAGGTGGGGGCAAGGCATCCAAGCTGGGCGGTGCCCATTTGCTCACTGGGGAGAAGGGAAGCTAGAGTACTCACTGGTGTGTCCTCCCTGGATCCTTCTGAGACTCAGCACCTTCCCCTCCTGACTTCACTCTTCTCCGCCCTGTATCCCTTCGAGCACTCTGCATCTTCTTTGGAAGATCTTCCCCGTGCCTACTGTTCAGGATGTATGGCTTATGTGGGCCTTTTAGAGTAACTCAAGGAAATGAATTAACCTCATTTTATCAGAAGAGTAACTTTGTCAAGAATCACGCATGCCTCAATTCATACTGAAGCTTTGCTTTTAGCAATAGGACCCTGTGCCCTATGTGATAGGATTGCCTATTGTTTCCCCTGTTGGCCGATGATCTCCTAAAAACCTAACCTAATCCTGACCTAACACAGCCAGCTCTCCACACTAAGCCTATTCCTCTCACAGTTAGATGAGGTTAGCTCTGGCTACGGTGATGCCCACTCAGAGGAGGGGAGAAATAAAGGCCATGACAGTGGAAGAAGCATGCAGTCTTGTCGTAAAGTCAGCACTCACACCCATTTCAAAGTCATCATGGTCGACGGCAGCTAGACATCCGCAGGAGGAGCTAGCCCGTTCTCTATGCGGAGAGCCAGTGTTTGGTGGGAGCACAAGAAGACTCCGACCATGGCCATGTTCCTGTTAGGCCTGGGGGAACATAGCACCCCTGGTGAAGCAAAAAACCAGGGCAAATGGCCTTGATGTGTGAAGGGGATTTTGCTGGGGAAGGTCTACTGACAGATGCTCATACACCTAAGGGAGAGGCAGTGAGCAAGGCTTTCCACGTGGGAGGGTAGAGCGCCATGCTCCTGCAAGAGCGATGGCAGTGGTATGGGCGACGATTGGGGGAGAGAAGACTCAGAAGGGCTTGGGTGTTGAGTGGAGACAGGCAGGTGAGAAGACACTCAAACTTGCAGATGATGACAGGCACTAGAATCGATCCTTGGGTTTAAAATGGTGACTTTCATTTCTACACTTTTTCTTGATTGGCTGGGAGGCTGCGGAGCATATCCCACCACCCCCACTCCCTACATACATACACATATACTCTAGGCAGTAGCAGCAGCATAGCCACATACTGCTAACCTGTGATCTTCCATGCTTTGGAGCCTGTTTTCTCAGTACAAATGACTGATCCTTGTTTCTGACGGCCTGCTCCTCAGGGTTTCCACAGAGCTCCGCTATCGAAAACAGCCCTGGGGCTTTGTAAAAACTTTCATCGAGAAGAACTTCTGGAGCGGATTGGAGGACTACTTCCGCCATTTAGGTGGGCGCCACAGTCCTCCCATCATCTAGCCTGAACCTTCCCTTGCTGGCCTGTGCAGCTGCTGGCTGCCATTTGGGGGGATGGGAAGCCTGGAGAATTAGGGGGTCTCTGAGACCATAAATTGGTTTCACAGGGCCCCTAGTTCTGTTCCTGAAATGAGCCTCAAGTTTGGTATGTTTGGCGATGTGTATCTCCTAAGAGACTGCATCTGTAGCTTTGAGATCGTTAAGGAGGGGCTGTGATTTTTGCCCGCCCTCGATTGAACCTCAGATGTAGGGACACTGGCATTGAGTCATCTGATTATAGGAAAGATCTGGGGGCATCTGTTTAGGAAATGTGTGATAAGTCATAAATTATATTCTTGGAGATGTGAAAGTTGGGAACGTGGTCCTCAAAGCAGGATTAGGCCTGGAAATCTTTGGCATGGGCATCTTTGAGGGTCAGCCTCCCACTGGGCCAGCTTGCCAGGGTGTGGTCATAGGAATAGGGTACAGAGTACAGAGTACAATAGTAGAGAGCTATGTCTGCTGGACATTGGGTTGAAGCTGTAGGTCTCTGACGTGGCCCTTTTGTGTCTGACAGAGTCTGAGCTAACCAAAACAGAGAGTACCTACCTGGCTGAGATGCACAGACAGTCACCCAAGGAGAAGGCCAATAAGTCTTCAGCAGTACGGAGGAGGAAGCGCCCCCATGCCCACCTGCGGGTACCTCACCTGGAAGAGGTGATGAGCCCTGTCACCACACCCACTGATGAAGATGTGGGCCACAGGATCAAGCACGTGGCAGGTATGTTTGTTCCAGGTGGGAATAGTTGTATAGATTGGCACTGGGGTGAAGCTGCATGCCTCTGTCGTGACACATATATGCACACCCGGTTTGCACCATGAGTAGAGTTTGTCACCTGTCCGTCACAGACCCACCGAGTGCCTTCCTGCCGGTCCGGGCAGTGGACTCCTCCTCTATTTCTTCTTCCCATCTCCCCTTTCAATCCTCATGTATATTCTCTGTTGTGGAAACCTGGGCCTCTCTAAGGGATCTGGAGACTCTGAGTCCAGTGTTTCACAGAGCAGGCTTTGCACACGCTTGTGAGTTTATCGGAGCTGTCTATGTGAGGACTGGAGAAGACACTATTTCCCATGAGTTTCCTCAGTCCGGCGTCAATTAGAGCACGCCATTGTTAGGTGCTTTAGATATACCGTTTGTGATTCATGTCACGTTAAGTAGACCGATTGAGAAAAGTGACGTATCTTGCCCTGACATCATGCAGCTGGCTATAAAGCCAAGGCTGGGAGCCTGCTGCCGCTAGCCTGTCTTCATCAGCCAATCATGTCTCTGTATTCTAGTTCCATAGCTATGTTTTCTTGTTTGTTCAGTGATTGTCTGACCTAAGCCTTGACTTTGCGGACTTCACCTCCCTGCGCTGTAGGGCTCAAGGTCGCTGAAGGCATGTTGCACAGTTCCCTGATGTTCTTGCTTGACCAGCATTCTGTCGGCAGTATGTGGACTTGTGGCTTGTGTGAATGACGACAACCTATTTATTCTCCCCCAGGTTCCACACAGACGCGGCATATCCCCGAGGACACTCCCCATGGTTCTCACCTACAAAGTGTGTCCAAGCTGCTGCTGGTTATCAGCTGTGTGTAAGAGACTCCAGGTTCTTCTCCCTCCCTGGCTCCACCCCCTTCCTTCTCCCGCCTGGTGCAGGAGAATCATCCTCATTTCTCAAGCATATGCTCCCCCTTACTTTTACCCCTCTCTCCTTTATTCCTTGGTCTTTCAGTCCTCACTGGATCAGTTGCTTGGTCATTTGTTCTTTTCGGTTCCTTTGCATTTTCTCAGCACTTTTGTGGGTTAGCCTTCTAGAAGGAAAGAGGTGTATGCGCTGTCTGTGCCAAGTGGGTGAGAGAGGCAGAACGCTCAGAATCCCCCCTCAAGATAAACGCTGACTGACATAGGGATGCTTCAGGGCATTTTAAGAGTCCATTAATTTATAAGAGGTTCTCTTGAGTGTCTGCTCTGTGCCCAGCATGAGAGCCATACACAGAGCCCTCACTGGCGGGGTAGCCAGACAAAATCAATGACCCAGTCCAGGGAGAGCAGATACTTATTTCAGTGTAGACGACTTATAATTAGCATGATATTATTAAACCATAGGTTCGATATCTTGTACAGTTAAGTTGATCTAGGGAGATGAGAAGCCAAAAGAAATAAAGGCATAAGATAGGAGATCACAACTGGCCAGTGTAGGAGTCCTTGTCAGTGCTCAGGACATGCTTAACCATTTGAATGAAAGGAACTTGGAGCGGCTAAGGACAGGTTTGCTGCTTGGCACAGCCTGCAGCCTGCATCCCATTGCTGTGAACCGGGGATGAGCCATGGGAGTGTGGATGGCACAGGTGGATGAGAGAGGCATGGCAAATACACACATTCATGCTCTACCTTCTGTATGCCAGGCACCAGACCTCCTCTGGGTCAGTTTTGCTCCTGTGGCCCTTCTGTACCTGTCCCTGAAGCAGCCTCAGAGAGGTGTGAGGGAATGTCCTTATTCTCGGGACACTCTGGGGGAGGCTCACAAGTGGCACAGTCAGACCAGCACTGTGGCAATATGGTGAACAGGTTGACAAAGGCTGAAGGCAGTGTGGGTGCTTAGAATGATCTGCATCAGAGGGGCCACCAACCTGAGAGGACTGACAGGTCACAGATGGCGGGGGCTCAGTAACCTTTCAGTTATGTCTCAAAGGAAGATCAGCTGCTTACAGGGACTACAGGTGCTCGTGCCAACAGAAATTTGGAGCTTAACTGAACGTCGTCAGAGAAGACATGCCTCTCCATGAGATAGAAAAAACAGCTGAACCCTGTCTCCTCCCACCATATAGCCCCCTCTCTGCCCAGCCATATCACTTCCTGTCTGTCTGTATAGACCTCCAGACTTCTATGGTTAACTAATTAGTGGCTAGCTCCACCCTCTGATCTTCAGGCAAGCTTTGTTAAAACACAAACAAGATATCACCACCCATGCCATGGTCCAAAAATGTCTGAGATGCAATCAGTTTTTGGGTTGAGGAGGACAGTCCTTTGCTGATGTGGGTTTGGCCCTGAGAAGGCTGAGTAAAGCTAAGGATATAAATGAGACCATCCATGCAGAGTATGGATGGGGCCAGCGACTACCCTGTGACTCCTTGTAGGGGAAAGACCTGGAGACCATAAGAAGGGTTCTTGCTAGTCCTGAAGGCATAGTATGAAAGTGGATGTCGGTTCTTCAGATTATAGCTTAAGAAACCGTGTTATGCCAGGCGGTGGTGGTACACGCCTTTAATCCCAGTACTTGGGAGGCAGGGGTAGGCAGATCTCTGTGAGGTCGAGGCCAGCCTGGTCTACAAGAGCTAGTTCCAGATCAGGTACCAAAGCTACAAAGAAACCTTGTCTCAAAAACCAAAACAAAACAACAAAAAAGAAACCATGATATATGGCAACAGTAAAGATGGAGACACTCTAAAACTCACCCTTCAAATACCAATGTCATGTGACTCATGTCACTATTAAAACCATGGCAGGTACTGGATACTAGTGAGTAAGAGACTATACCCTCGGTTAGTTCTATGTTTATGCTCTCTCTACACCTCAGTTTTACTTAAATAAAGGAGGCCCTCTCGAGTGGGCCAACCCCACAGTCAACAGCTAACTCTGTGCCTTTGTAAGTTTAGGGTAGGCGGGCCTTCTGACTCAACGCCACACACTCCAGGCTGGGCTTCTAATAGCCTGCATTTAGAACACACCGACACAGCGCAGCTTACCCGTGTCTAGCAGGCCCTTGCCACCACCCACCCTCCGTGTGGTGACTCAACCTCCCACCTCTTTGTCTCTGTTTGGCACACTTGGGAGTCTTCCCTCAGACAGCACATGGCCTTTACTTAAACCATCCTGGATCAGATACACATACCCAAGTGTACGGAGGTGTGTGGCACTTGCTGCGGGGGTGGGCACTTAGGTGATTCAGCATGTGCTGCTGACACAGTTAGAGGACGACCTTGACACTCAACACCAGCGCTGGATGTTCTCACGGAGAGCTTAGGCTAGCCCCAGGGATCTGTAGCTGACTTCCATCTGTAGTGCTGGGGAAACGCATCAGACGTCAGACATTACTTTTACACGCTGGCTTTGTGTTCTTAGGCACAGCCTAAGTCACGTTTGATTTTTTTCCCTTTGTTGGCCGCTCTTCCACTTATGACTTGCCTTCGTAATTTGACCATCTTCTCTCTTCCTGTGTGTTCCCATCCTTTCCAAATCCTTTGACGCTAAGAACCAGCTCTTAGGGTGGGCCTCCTGCTAAAGCTTATGTTCCTTTCTATCCATAGAGCAACCCCAGCAGGTTAGGTATGATATCCCCCTTGAGAAAACAGTTTCAGGATAGATGAGAAACGTGTGGAAGGTCAAACAGATTTGTAAGTGACACACTCAAGATTCACCCCAGTTCTGCCTGCCTCCAGGTCTTCTCCACATCCCTGCCTTTTTCTTATCCCGTGAGCTTCTGTCCCAGAATGGCCTAGGCAGCCACTGAGGTGCTCAGGAGGGAGTTTCCCCAGCCTCCTCGCTGGCAACCTTGTCATCCTTGGTCTGGTTTGCTTTTGGTCCCCCGCCAGATAGTTGGTATAGGTACAGGGAGAAGACACTGCAGCTGCAGGGAGGTACCACTACCCATAAGTGCCACCCTTCAGGTATGGCATGACTCTGGGTTGATAGAAAAATCTCCTGATTTAGCACCCATGCGAAACTGAGCGTCTGCAGCTGCTTTCCCTCCATCCTTCCTTGCCTGGCCACCTTGTCTGTTGTGTCTTTGCTCCTTGTGTTATTTTTTTTTTCTCTGATAGATGTCCCCTTGCTGTCTGGCTCCATTGAAGTGCATTTCCTCCTTCCCCACAGTCCTGTTTCTAACCTCTGCCTCCTCCTCATTTTTCTTCCTTGCTCCCATTAGGATCTGTTTCAGGTACCAGCTCTACAATTGTTCCCTTTGCCTCATCGCTTCCCCCCCCCTCCATCTTTTTCCCTCAGGCACCCAGAGCCAGGTGCCTATGCCTCCCCTTCAGTGCCTTCAATACCTTTGCTTATGCCCCTCTCCATGGCTCTCCCGTTCTGTCTCTGACCCAGTAGACTAGGTTGCTTCTCTTTCTCTGACCTGTGCCCTTCCAGCTTCCTCACCCCTTTCTCTGGATGCTTGGGTTGGCCCAGCAAGCAGACACATGGTCTCATGGGTAGGCGGGGAGATCACTGGCCCAGATCTTATCTCATTGCTCTTTCTTTTCCCTGTATCTCCTTCCCAGTCTGGTGCTGCTGGTCATCCTTAACATGATGCTCTTTTACAAGCTGTGGATGCTGGAATACACCACACAGACCCTCACTGCCTGGCAGGGTCTCCGGCTCCAGGAAAGGTAATATTGGCCTCACCTCCTTGTCCCTACCTCAAGGACACCCCTTTGAGATGAGTCCATAGGCTAGTTCTACAAATCCGTCCTTAGAGTTTCAGCTTAAGTTTCACGGCCATGGGGCACTGAGTGAGCAGAAGAGAAAGCACTCTGAGATGACTCTGTCCTGTGGGAGCACAGACTAACCCACTGAGCATGACTCCAGCTGTTGGGTACCCCTTCTTCTACTCCACAGGTTACCCCAGTCACAGACAGAATGGGCCCAGCTATTAGAATCCCAACAAAAGTACCATGATACCGAGCTCCAGAAGTGGAGGGAGATCATCAAATCCTCAGTGATGCTCCTGGACCAGGTGAGATGCTCACAGTCCCTCATCTTTAGGAGACCGGGCTCCTTTCCTTCTGTACTGAGAAATGTCAGCATGTTCCCTTACCACCATTCTGATGTCCTCTTCCTCTTTATTATTATGCTGGTCTGTCCCTTAATTTGCTTTTAAAGCTATTCCTTGATGAAGTACTAGAAACACAAGCATCAATAATAAAATAAGAGATAGATTAATGGCCAGAGGGATGTAGGACAGACATATATATATATAATATATAACATATAATATTATATGTTATATATTATGTATTATAATATATATCTTATTATATATATATATATATGTCGAGAGAGAGAGAGAGAGAGAGAGAGAGAGAGAGAGAGAGAGAGAGCAATCCTGTAACGCATTGTCTTCCTAGATGGCTTACATATCAATTTTTGAGGGGCCAGTGCAATGGTTCAGCTGTTAAACGTGTTTGCCACCAGACCTGGCAACCTGAGTTTTATCTCCAGGTGGAGAGACTCCTGCAAGTTGTCCTCTGATCTCCATATATACACTTCTCATGCACAGAGCGGAAATGGGCCCCTTTTCCCACCTGAGAAGTTGATTTAGAAGAAGAGGAGAAATCAGAGCAGTAGGTGATGCAGAGGCCAGGAGTTCACAGTGCATCAGGATGGGGATACCACCCTGTCGTTAGAGCAGAGTAGCTCACTGGGACAGTATGTGATGTTATGGGATGGACCCGGTGAAGACTCTCCTACTGGAGCTGACCCTTTTCGACCTTGTCCCCTGACCCCAGCATCTCCTGCTGTGAAGCTGAGCGAGCACCTGCGTCCTCTCTGCCTGATGCTGCTGTGTATGTCTGTGAAGGGCAGGCTGGTTTTAGGTCTAAGAAATATGAAGTTAGACAGTTCCTGACGAGGCAGCTAAGAAGCCCTGTTGGTCTGACAGGCCAGGAGGCAAAGGACGACTGTGACTGTAGAAGGGTGGCCTTGTTTCTGGTCCTTTCCAGCTGTATGAACTTGGGGCAGAGAAATTGGAAAGCATCTCGGGCCCGGAGAAAAATAAGCCAAAAGCAGATTCAGGATCCGAGTTGTAGGTCGAGAGACTGGTGGTTTAAGGTGGCTCCTTAGAGTGACTGGATACTTGTAATTCATTGATTTAAGAGTCACCAATAACCAAGCCCAAGGAATTTCCTGTGCCGGACCAGATGGCCCCTTTCTGCCCTAGGCTGAGTCTCCTAGGAGCTACCCATGCTTTGGACTTGGTTTCTCTTGGCTCTGTGACATGGGCAGGGATGGGCCACAGGTGGGTGTTGCAGCAGCCCCTTTGTGGACACTCACTGAGAGCACTGTCTTACAGATGAAGGACTCACTCATCAACCTTCAGAATGGCATCAGGTCCCGAGACTACACGTCTGAAAGCGACGAGAAGAGGAACCGCTATCATTGACAAGGCAGGACCAGGAGTGGCTGCAAGAGGCCTGTGCAATACATGTACATAGACCCTATAAATATATATATAAATATATATATATACAGAATATAAATATATATTATATACAGATTTTAAAAAAATGAGATAATGCCTATGTACCAGGGAGAAGGAGCGGGAACTCCCGCCCCCTGTGCCGGCCAGAGCAGCGTTTTCCCTCCACCGTGGAGGGACCGAGGAGGGCAGGGACCACCTCTCAGCATCAACCTCCCCTGACCCTCCTCTTCCCATCTTTTGTTCCTCACCCCTTCCCTTGCTGGCCATTCTTGGCCCTTAGAAGGGAAATGTGGCTGAGCCAAAGTTAATGCCTGTGAAGACCCTTAGGTCTTCAAAGACGTTCCAAGAGGGCATTGCTTACGGTGCTTCATTCCCTAACCCTCTTTTGATTTGTCTCCAGAGTAAAAGAGAACCTGTTCTTCCCCCCACCCAGTGCTCCCCCAGGCCTTCTCTTGGGAACAGGAAGAATGGAGAGGGCAGGAGCCCCATCCAAAGTCCCCCAGGAGACCATTGGTTAGGACCACACTGAAAGCCAGGTGGCGAGGACTGTGAAGAGGCTGCATTTGTGGGCCTGGGCTGTGGGGCTGCAGGCTCCTCAGCTCTGGCATCTGAAGGGAATTCTCCTCAGCCACCCCCACACCTTCTTCTGACCTGAGTAGGTTGTGGAACCCACAAGGGCTGGGACTTTCTAACTCTCCCACTCCCTTTCTCTGCTCTTCTCCCAGGCTGGCTCTGGAGAAGTGTCACTTTTAGTGCCTAAGGTCCTAGTGTTTCTCTGTGCCCTAAGAGCACATTGTTTCTTAGCCAGGGTAGAGCCTTTTTGACCTTGTTTAAAAAAAACAAAACAAAACAAAAAACAAGAACCTCTTTTAGTGGTTATAAACCAGTCAGGTCTGTGGCTCTAATTCTTTCCCTTTGAGCTGTGAGTTTGATGTCCAGGGTAAGTCAGGGTGTCCTAGTCCCTCCAGGTTTTAGGAGACAGAGAACATTCTAGAAACATGGATTACAGGGCTTACCCAGAATCCCATATGAGTAGTGAGCACAGTAGCCAAGCCACGCACAGGGCTAACAGCATCGTTAACTCTTGGTCAAGAACCAGTGTTAGCAATAGAGGCCGTTGTGTGGGAAAATGTGTGAACCACCGGAGGGAGGATTTGGCACAGATGCGTGTGTTTGGTTAGGGAGAGGCCAAGTGAAACCTGGCCCCCACAGAGGCCACCTCAGTTGTTTCTCAGGTTTAGGAGTGGGGGCTCTGATGGGTGTGTGTGTGTGTGTGTGTATGTGTGTGTGTGTGTGTACGCAAATCTCTTTATAATCTCTGGCCCCAGTGAGCTATAAGGTCACCAAGAAATTTGAACCAGTCAGGGCCTGGCCTTCTTATGTTAGCCCTTCAGGACTCAGGCTTTTACATGATCTCAAGGGGCACTTCGGGGCAGATTCATCATCTCTGCTCTTCCGTCTGGTGACTCAAGGACTCCTGCCAGTCCCAGGCAGAGCTCATGTTGGTCCATAGTAGTAAAGAACTGCTTCCAGGTTGGCACGGAAGCTTCTCTGAGCTGGCCACTTCTCAAGTCCAGAGGAAGACAGAACCACAGATTTCCCACAGCATCGGTACAAAGGGAGCAAGATGGTGCTGGTTATCGACGCCAAAGAGAAAGTTACCTTCTCCTCTTAGCATTGTCAGAACATTCCATTTGGGCAGTGAAAGAAAGAAAGGCATTGGTATTGCAGTGTCCTGGAGAGATAGGCCTTGGTGTTTCTTGAAGGGCAGAATCAGAAAATAGGATGTAACCCTGACTCATCCTCTGATGGCGGGAGAAGAAGGCTCAGGGCACCTAGCTAGCATCACTAGCGCTCTTCCGGGAAAACAGGGGTGAAGAAATGCATTCATTGTTCCTTTAGAGTGGCCAAAGCCCAAAGGCCAGTTGGTTGTCACTTGGTTGTTGTTCAGGGTTTTGAGGGCTTTGCTGGTGATGGTCTAGACCCACGAGCCCTGAGACAAAGAAGGGAGAAAGATCCCATTTGAAATGCTAGGCAGTTTCCTCTTGAAATAGCCAGAAGCTAAAAGTATTCCCAGAAACTTTGGAAAGCAAGATTGGAAATTCCAAATTTATTGCGTTTGTAGTTATTTACTTAAGTTGAGTTGTTCAAGTAGCTGTGGATCCTTTCGGATGATTTCAAAGGTGTCCACTGGGGGTGAGGGGCCAGTAAAGTTACAGAAGAAGCCCTGACCACAGAGAGCTGCTTTTCTTTGACCTGCAGTATCATTTAGAGAAGGAAAACCCCTGATTTGTCCTAGAAAGCCTTCTGTTTTCTGATGAACCCATATGATTTTATATATATATATACGTATATATACATATATATACATATATATGTATATATATGTATATATATAATCATATGAAGAATAGCTCCCAGGATCCTAGCTTTCCTATGAGTTGCTTTTGTCTTAGCATTAGCTTGGGCTTTTAAACCAGGAAGAAACCAACAACTCGGTTTGTTCCCAAACACACCCCCCTCCCCACCCTTAGTCAATACTTTGTGAGAGAGAAGGGAACTCAACCTTTTGCAACCAAAACAAGTGCCCTGGACGATAGCCCGGCACATAGCTAGCTGTCTGCAGGAGGTCATGGAAGCTGGCATGCCTTGGGTGCCTTCTTCCAGCTGGCAGGTTTTCTCTGTTTGTCCATTGTAGATATATATTGATCTTTCTGTATGGATTTGTAGGCAAGATAGTCAAGTGCTTTCAATGGACCAAGAGTGGCGAGATCTGGGCTTGAGTCTTGACTGTGCTGTTGGAAAGTTGTGCGACCTTGGTTAAGTCCCCATCACCAAGCTTCACGATCCACTTGTCACAGAAGAGGGTCAGTAAATGACCTCTAATGTGGGTTCTAGGTTTGACCTTGACTCCAAGATTAGACCAGAGACTAATGAGATGTGGAGTTCCCAATTCTGAAAGCTGTCCTGCCAGGGCAGATGAGCTTTGCTCTTGACTAGGAGGTCTAGGGGGGTCCCAGTGGCAGGGATAGCCTTGCTCAGCATTAACCCAGGAGAATGTTCCTTCCTCCTTTGACCTAGGTTTAGTTTGGAGTTGGTTTATGCTTAGAGGAGGATAACGGCAAGCAGTGTATCATTTTGGACCGAGTCCATCTTCCATCTCCAGGCACTGTGAATCCTCTCTACTGTTCATACTCCTTCCTCACTGACGCAAGACACAATGGGAAGAAGCCATTCCCAGTTCTAGAACTTCTGTTTGCCTCAGCCAAAACCCTGATGTGGTTTGCATAAATTAGGAAACTTTTGCTAAAATCCTTGGCTTGCCTTTGGGCACTGGCATCAAGGAGTGGGGAGCACTGGGGAACCTCAAGAAGAATTTGCCACAAGTGGATTCTCTACTTGTCCATAGCCCCTCACCTATGCTGGGACTGGCCTACTATTGTCATTGGCAGCAACTGTAAGATGAGGTGTTGGGGAAATGACTGTCTAGGGGAAGACTCTTTCTGGACAGTTGTGCTCCCAGACGGGTCCTTTCTGGGCCATACCATCCTGCTTCCTTAGCACTGCAGGGCAGCCAAAGCCAGCCCTTCTCTATAGGGCCTAGGAGAAATAGCGCTCTTCTCTCTTCCCCCAGGTGGCAGGGCTGTGGTGGCCCTTCCTACACACCTGGACTCTGCCTGCCCTCTCCAGGACTCTCTCCCTCGCCCCAGCCCCACCCCTGTCTCTTAAGCTATGGGGCAATCATTCCCATTTTTCCTTTGCTGTTCTCCACCCTCGTCCCACCGCCTTCGCCCCACTCCAGCAGGCTGGCCCTACTTCCCTTCCATCTCCGAGTCTTCTTCCAGAAGATGCATTTGGGTCTCAGAGGAGTGTTTTCTGGAAGGCCATCTTTCCACATCCCTGCATTCCTGATGTGAATCAGGGATTTGCACTTGGTGTAGAGAGCCTCCTCTCCCACCTCTCTGCCCCACCTCGTTACCTCACTCCTGCTCCAGCCATTGTGATGGGCTCAGCCAGCAACTTGTTCTGATGTGCCGTGCTACAGCTCAGGGGTCTTGTGACTTGGAGGTCCTCAGCAGGCCTGGGAGCCCGGATTGGAGCCTTGGCTGCCGGTGAGATGCACTTACCTGCCAAGATTTGCTGATGCCAGACGATCTCCCCAGCATGTGGATGCGTAATGGACATTGTCATCTCTGCCCTTTGGTCCTCCTTGCTTCTCTCAATACAATAAGACACCTCAGAAGCAAAATGGCGGCCCTTGCTCCAGGCAGGACATCTGACCGTCTGGGGAGTTGGCCCTGGGCTTCTGTGTTGTGTGCAAAGACTGCACAGTCACTTTTGCCAACAAGAATGTGTGGCACCCCACATTTCCTCACCTTGCACTCTAGGGCCAGACCACTCTCTGCATGGACCACACCCCCAAACCCATGGTGCTTTTTTTCTCCCCTCACTCAACCTAGACCCTGAGGTGGGGAGGGATGGATCAGAGGCCATAGTGGCCCCATGGATATTCCCGACATGGGGTGGAATAGGGTGAGCTAGAGGGAGCAGCACCCAGCACCTGCACTGGACCACAAGTGGGAAAGGACACGGGTTGCTTGCAGTTGAGTTGTCTGGCCGTCTGTATTGGGATCGATAACTGTACTTTGCCTGGCGCTGTGCGCAAGGTCTGAAAACTTCCTGCTAGTCCCTAGAAACATACAAGGCTACCCAGCCAAATCTTAATGTAAAGTAGCTAGAGCCATGGAAGTCCAGTCTGAATTAAAGGAAAAAAGTATTGAATTACAAATAATAAATGGTTGTGTGTGTTTATTGCTTGGTCCATCGGGAGTCCTCATCCCCAGGGTTTATGATGTCCCTAGATAGGCTCATGGCAAGGCATGAAGGCATGCGTGTACTGGCATGTTGCCCACATACAAGCCTCCATCTTAGGAAAAGAAGCAGCCTGAAATAATGGAATGGCTAGGTTTCTGAATTTTTGTTATTTATTTAGTAAATGTTTGTTATTATTTTTGACACGTTCATACAGGTTTATAAAGTGTATTGTGATCTTATCCATCTCCGTGACCCTCTCTTATCTCCCTCCTACCTATGCCTGTTTCCCCTTTTACCTTCATGTATTTTTGTAACTCACTGGGTTTAATTAGGTTGTTTATATAAGCACGGGAAGGGGGACTGCTTGCCGGAGCCAGAGCAACTTATTAGGGGTTACACCACTGAGGAAAACTCCCCTCTCTCCTCAGGAGACCCTCAGAGAGGCGTAGGACCTCACGAGCTCCTATCCCATCCACGATAGAATGAATGGCCCAGTCCTGCTTAGGCCTTAAACAACTGCTGTGTCGTCATGATCAATGATCAGACAGCGCTCATTTCTATCCTCTGGCTCCTACACTTGTTCTACCCCTTCAGTGTTCCAAGAGCCTTGGAGGATACACACTCATGGGTCACTCTTAACCATTAGTGTGGCCATGAGTCCCATCTATCATTTCAATCCTCAGTGTTTAGGGATAATGTCTTTTATAAAGAAGTGCATGTATGTCACTTAGTATGAGAGCTGGAATTGTACTACAATAATTTTAGTCTTTACATATTTTGAAAAGATTGATTTTTAATTCTGTATATATGTTCATGTCTGTGTGTGCTTGTGAATACAGGTGCTTTCAGAGGACAAGAGAGGGTATCAGATCTCTAGGAGCTGGAGTTACAGGTGGTTGTGAGCCACCTGACATGGGTACTGGGAATTAAACTGGGGTCCTCCTGAAGAGCCACAGGCACCTTTGATCACTAAGCCATCTCTCCAGCCCTGTTTTTAGTCTTAACCAGCAGCATTCTGAGAGTTGTGGTGGAACTGGGTGTGGTGGTACACACCTTTAATCCTAGCGCTTGAAAGGCAGGTGGATCTCTGAGTTTGAGGCTAGCCTGGTGTACAGAGCAAGTTTCAGGACAGCCAGGATTACACAGAGAAACCTTTGCTTCCTCTTAAACAAAACCCCACAACCAATTATGCTGGACTGAATCCTCACACTTTCTTGTTATGCTTTTCTCTTTAGGGGCTCTCGCCCCTTTTAGGAAACTAGGTACTGGAAGACAGTGTTGCCTTGATGCTCCTCCCTAAATGGGAAGCCCCCTGAGTCTTCCCTACATTAGATCTGTCTTGCAGTCAGCATCTCCCCACCTGGTTAGTGAATGTGTGATGCCAAACAAGAGTGCACATTTCTCTTGTTCTCTTCTGTCTTTGTGCAGAGGACAGGAAGCCCTGAAAGACCAGATCCCACATCTAGTATGGTTTGCTCGAGACTTTGGAGTACTTTTCGTTTTCTAGGGTTAGTCCTCTCTGTGCAGGAAGTGGGGCAGATTGCATGCAAGGTGGGAGGCAGAGTGGGCAGCAGACTCGCATTGTGAGCAGAGCAAACCCAGAGCGTGTGGTCTTCAGAGACACTTTATTGACATGAACAGAGAGTTTATTGGAATTGTGGGCCTATGCACAAGTGTATACACACACACACACACACACACACACACACACACACACACACACACAC